CAGCTTGAGCAGGGCGCACAGCACCAGCGTGGAGCCGTGGGCCAGGCCCAGCAGCGCCCGCTCCATCGCCGCCCGGAACTGCCGCCGCCCCGCCCCGCCCGGGACTTCCTCCGCTCCCTGCCAGGCTCTGCCCTCGCCGGGGCTACCGCCTCTCGTCTGTGCACGGGCCTCCGTGCAGACTCTGACCAGTATATAGCAATGGCTTTTTTTTCTTATGTCGCTTCATCTGGACTTCCTGCTTTTCTGGCCCCAGTAATCCACGGGCCAGCCGTGCTCCCCTGTCATCTGCCCTGCTGCCATTAGCTGCTCCTGGGGGGTTTGCTGCTTTTTTTTTAATGGAAAAGTTTTCACGTCTCAGGTCAAGTCAGGTCAGCCAAATCCATTCCAAATCCGTGAGTCATTCAAGAACTGTATGTGGCCCCGCTACCGGCAAGCATCAATACGGCAAAACGCAGGGTACTCCACCTCGGTGAGGGGTAACCCGCATCACGCTTATAGGCTCGGCAGTGCTACGCTCCCTAGCACCACGGCTGAAACAGACTTGGGGGTCGTGATGGACCGCGAGATGAACGTGAGCCACCAGTGCGATGTCGCAGCTGGTAAAGCGAACAAAACTCTCAAGCAAATCCCAGGACGTCATCCTCCCGCTGTACTCATACGTGGTGAGGCCACAGCTGGAGTACTGCATCCAACACTGGGCTCCACGATTTAAAAAGGATGTGGAGAAGCTTGAGAGAGTCCAGAGGAGAGCCACGCACATGATCAGAGGGCACGAGAACAGGTCTTATGAAGAGAGGCCAAGAGCCATGGGACTCTTCAGCCTGGAAAAGCGCAGGCTCAGGGGGCACCTGGTGGCTGCCTATAAGTATATAGGGGGTGTACATCAGGATCGCGGAGAACGCCTGTTCACCAGAGCACCCCAAGGGATGACAAGGTCCAGCAGTCACAGACTCCTCCAAGACAGTTTTAGGCTGGACGTAAGGAAAAACTTCTTTACTGTCCTAGCCCCCAAGGCCTGGAATAGACTCCCTCCATAGGTGGTGCAAGCACCTACTCTGGACTCTTTTAAGAAACATTTGGACATTTATCTTGCTGGGATCCTTTGACCCTAGCTGACTTCCTGCTCCTGGGGCAGCGGGCTGGAGTCGATGATCTTCAGAGGCCCTAATGTCTATGGAATCTAGGACATCTTCCACCATAGCCCGGGGCTTCAGATGCTTGCAAATCCTTTGGCAGGCGTCCTATGTGCAGGCCCAAGCTTCAAGGCTTGGGGTTCGGGTGCTCCCGAGTTTCACTTGCCCTCGACCATATGGCTGCAGGAGCAAACTAAGGAGAAGTCTCCCATTTCTGTAAAGTTGGTGTACGGCCAAGATCTTCCCACTGGAAGTGAAAGAGCAAAACTGTGCCTTACTAGGTACTACCCCCTGCCAAGAAAGTGGTTTTCCTCTGCCAGTAAGCAAACCACCTTAGTGGTCATGAGACTTCCCCTGCCAGGTGGTGATGAAGCTCCTGTTAGAGCCCTGGGCAGTGTTTACTGCTGGTTCCCAGGAAGTTCTGTTTATCTTTTAGCTGCTTCAGTCTTTACATGGAGTAATGCAGCTCTAGGTCCGTGGTGTATTAGTAAAGCTAGTTCGTTTTTAACTGGAGAAAAAGAGCCATGGGATGTATGTGATGATGCAGTACCCCTGGGAGGAGCTGGCTGCTGACTGATGCCAGTGGTGCAGCCACCCTCAACCAAGCAGCAGCCAGTTTCGAGGTCAAGCATCTTGCCCTCAAAGCAGAGAAGAGAGAGCAGAGGAAGGAAAAGGAGAGGAATCCCAGCCTGCAACTTACTCTCCCCTGTGGAAACTTTGCAACTTTTGCAGACGGGTTTCTGGCTCAAGGACTGTGAACTCTTCAGTTGCCTCCAGACCCATCAGTGAGCCATGATAAAGATCTCCCTTGAGTCAAGGGATTGCCAAGGACCTCACCATCTGCACCCTCTGTTTCAAAACTCTAGATCCACCCGTGACAACATGTGCCATGTTTCCAGTGTGTCCAGTACTCCCCTTCCAAGGCTTGGGCACAGTCACCATTGAAAGCCATAACGATGGCAGGTTTTGCTCTTTTTGAAGTTCTTAACAGTCTTTATTCAAAGAATAATCCCTGCACAGCTAGCTCAGTGGAAACTCTTGGCTGAGCCTGCCATGGAGTGAGGACATCAAGGTGAGCACTACAGCACTTGGCTCCCACTGGGATTTTCCCACACAAAAACTGATTGAATGTAACACTGGGACTGTTTTGTGGCATCAGCGTGACAAATGTCAACCTGGATGGTGTCGCTTCTGGTTCTGAGGAAAAGAATTTTTTTTAAAGGTGTTAGAAGTAGTGCACTGTTAGATACAATCTTTTTCAACTTGTCACGTGGCTAGATGGACTCTTCAAACAATGGAAGTGTCAGAGTGATGTCGCTGTGACACTCCAGGGTTCATAAACTTGTGTCCAGCTCTATTGTAACTGTGCCGTTAGTCCAATATAGGTTATCAACCTTGCCTTTCCAGGGAATTGGCACCAGTACTAATTACACCGTAACGTATGGGGCTCTGGTTCTTTCATGCGGCCTTGCACCGATCTAACCAAATCAGCTGTTACCCGGAGTAGGTTCACTTCGTAGTTAGGGAACATCTGCATGAATTTTCTCTCACTCTCTTTTTCTCTCGTTGCTAAAAACATATTTGTTTAGCACCATAATCATTTTCCAATTTACATGTGCATTTTGTGTATTACACACATGTTTTCCTGTTGCCCCTGGAATTAGTTTGGCAAATAGGTTTCTTGCATTCATTCCAGTTACTTCGAGTTGGATATTGCTGATGATTTAAAGCAATAACATTCCAGGACTTAATTAACACATAAATCAGTGGTAAAAAAGAAGCAGAGGATAAGGCACAGCTCTGACCTTGAGTAGAATAGTTCTTTTAACTGAAAAAGTATAAATGTGGATATACCATATCAAGTATTTAGGGTCTTTAAAAAAAACTTCAAAAGAAACAAAATCAATTTTAATTACAGAGTATTATGAGCAATTCATGAGACTGAAACTTTTTGCCTGTATGAAGATATGTTACTTTATTTTGGGGCAAAAATGGAACAGAAGAAATTAAACATAAAGATAAATGAAAATAAGTTATTGCAGAGAGGTCTTGTTAAATAGAGTTTTTAGTCTGAAGCACATATTGTTATATAAGATAGTGACTGATTTTCAAAGTGGTTTATCGCCTCTGCTATGTTTGAAGTCAACTTAGCACCTTGGAAAACTAGACTCATAGGCCACGTCCAGACAAGCGCAAATGTTTGGTTCCCCGGGGACAGCTACCAGAGGGATACCTTGTGCCACTGCCAGTTGTTTCCAGGGAACACCAGTGCCACACACCCTCTGATGCATGGCAGGTTATCCCGGGTGGGATAGGGGACGCTGGGGCCAGCACAGTTACCGGCCCCAGCAACCTTACCTGGAGGCTGGGGAAGCTGCACCCGTGTCACTTCTGCAGCTTGGAGCCTGGCCAGCAGCTGGAGCATGGCTCTGGCCGGCCAGGCTCTGGTTTTGGGTGAAACGTGCTGTTTGCACATCACAGCTTTGCTTTTTCTGCACGGGATTTTTTGGTCCCTGGATCTCCAGGGTTAAAAAAAACCCATGCTGCAAGGTAGCAGCTTGGGAAATGCTTGAATGTGCGGTATGTGGCACCACAGGCGTGTCTGCAGTGCCACATACTGCACAGCCACACTCGTCTGGACGCAGACATAGTGACACAGATGAGCATGGCATTTCAGAGATTCTGAGGATTTTTTGAGTCTGATAAAAAGTTGCTTTTGGTAGACTTAGTATCATCTGCATGACTATGACAATGCAGATGGGAGTCTCAAAAATAGATCGTGAGCATTTCAAAAGAACAGTGTGCATGATAACATCTAATGCTGCTGGAAAATTACAAAATTTAAAGTGATCAAGGATCTTAATTAAGCTCAAATGTATACACCTTTACCAGCATATTTTTATTTAACTCTCTTAGATAAAATGAGTACACGTAGCCGTTTACCTTTAAAATACAGCAGATTTTTTTAAATGTCTCGCCTTCCAAGAGTGGTCTATTTGTTAAACAAGCAGTCAGTAGGTTAGGCCTAATCACAAACCATAAGCCCCTCCACAGTTATTGAGGTTTCTCCAGCTAGAGCCCCTTCCTGGTCAGATAGATGGCCAACTTTCCTACCAAGACAGGAAATGAATAATCAAAATGATTTACTTTCAGCCCTTGTGTTATGTGGCATTGCTTTACATCTGTTAACTAGTCACTTTTATCGAAGCTCTCATTACAAGTTAAAAAAATATGCATCACAAAGCTAGACTGCTCTAATGTAGAATTTAAAAAAATTCAGGTAAATATATAGCAATGACGTTTTTTTCTTATTTCAGTCACTTAAGCTGGACTTCCTGCTTTTCTGGTCAAAGTATTCCATTTTGTACCAAACAGGATTCTTGAATCAATACATTGCAGCAAAATGTGGGATCTCTTTAAATAGCAATTCACGCTTGAATTCATTACTTATTTAATCTTCAGCTGCAGATTGCCTGGTTTGTAGCAGATGGCCATTGATTAAACAACATCACACTTGAAATAGGAATGCAAATGTTGATTGCTGTGTTAAAAAAAAATGGAAAAAATATGTTTCTTTAGTGGAACAACATTCATTTTTCTGATAATGACCTAGGATTGTTTTCATTGTTTCTCTAGACCAAAATGATGTTTTGGAAATAACGTTTTTTTTCAACAGGAATTAAATCTACCTTTTATTTCAGTGAAATTCCCTTGGCCTACCATGACAGGGGCTCTTAAAAAAAAAGTCTAATTTTGCACCTGGGTTAAATAAAGAAAATGGCCACAAATCTGTGGAATACATGTTATTACCTTGTTGAGGCCACAAATTTAGAGCCCTGTTTTGTCCTGGTATCTTCTAATGTTCAAGAGAAGTTAAGCATGCACCAGAGAATAGTAGCTGGCTCTTATATGTCCCTGGGCAGTAGATTACCTGAGATCAGGGATGTCAAACAGTCTGCCCCCACGATTCCCAGAGGGGCTGGGATTTTGGGAGTGGGATCTGTCTTTGAATTCTGCAGTACAGAGCCCTGTTGGGGACTCATTTCAGTGCACAAACAACAGCTGTGTTAACTCCTGCAAGTCCCTGAGCCAACACAGCAGCTCAGGCACCTGCAGCGGATAACATAGCCAGCACTTGCCCTGCTGCCACCAGGAGCCACCCCAGTCAAGTTCTGGCCCGGAGGGCTAAATGAGTTTGACACCCTTGCTTTAAATAGTCCCTGTTTCCAGGTTTGCTTTAATGTGTCACTAATTTCTGACAAAGAGCCTTGCCTTTGACTCTAGCATTTCCTCACAAGTAGCATAGCATAGCATTGCTGGAAGGTGGAGGGTCCTGATTGTACTTCCACATGGGTATGTTTCTACCAATATCTCTGGGAGCAGACCCAGCTCAGAGCAGTAAACAGAAGCCTGGCAGAGAGAAGGATG